GAGGGGCTCGGTCCCTTCATGTTACTCACTTTGCTATAACTGGGTGGGACGCCCTATACAGAGGGACTCGCTTCCGACAGACTAATAAAGGACAAGTTTTTAAAGGACTCTGGCTCCGTCTGGTGTCCCTGTCCCCCTCCCTGTGGTGGTGGTGGTGATGGGTGGTGCTGCCCCCTTGTCTTGTGCCCATGGCTCTGCCCAAGCCTGGGGACGTGCTGCGTCCTTGGTCCGGGGATGCCATTTGCCCCACTACACGGTCACAGCCCTGGGACACAGGGGGCAGGTGAGGGGACAGCCTGGGGACCCAGGGGGATGCTCATGCCCTGTCCCATAGTGACAGCCTCAGGAATGAGGGGGACATCCCTGTTCTGTCCCATGGTGACAGACCAGGGGATGACCGAGATGCCCATGCCCTGTCCCACAGTGACAGCCCAGGGACCCACGGGGATATCTGTGCCTTGTTCCATGGTGACTGCCTGGGGGTGAGGGGGACATCCATGCCCTGTGCCATGGTGAGAGCCTAGGGACCCAGGAGGAGGTCCGTGCCCTGTCCCATGGTGATGGCCTGAGGAGCAAGGGGGATGTCCATGCCCTGCCCTTGGTGACAGCCCAGGGAACAAGGGATACATCCATGCGCTGTCCCATGGTGACAGACCAAGGAATGATGGGGATGTCCATGCCCTGCCCCACGGTGACAGCCTGGGGGATGATGGGGACACCCATGCCCCGTGCCACGATGACAGCCCAGGGGACGATGGGGACACCCGTGCCCTGCCCGCAGTGACAGCCCAGGGTAGTTGGGGACACGCGTGCCCTGCCCATGGTGACAACCCAGGGACCCAGTGAGACATCCATGCCCTGTCCCATGGTGACAGACCAAGGGATGATGGGGATGTCCATGCCCTGCCCGCGGTGACAGCCCGGGGTAGCTGGGGACACGCGTGCCCTGCCCATGGTGACAACCCAGGGACCCAGCGGGACATCCATGCCCTGTCCCATGGTGACAGAC